AGATCCCAATACAAAAAATTCTGCGTGCTGCAGCCATAGCTGGCGAGCCACTAGGACCTTGCGCTTTTCGTATCACCTTAAGGCCTGATCCAAATAATCCATAGCAGTTTATTCATGAACACACTCCAGTAAAATTTAAATTATTGAACTAATTAAAAGCTAGTGTGGTTACTAATGGAATACAGAGCCCATTTACTTTAGGATTGTTAGAATCTGTATTCAGCGCTGTGTGCTTCCCACCCTTGGATATAAAGCATTTAGCTTGCACTTGTTTGTCCGCTAGTGCATATCTGACATGGAATTTAAATTGGCAAGAAATGTGTGCAGACCAGGCTAGACAGAATCTTGCCGCTGGACATGGGAACATTACAGAGGAAATGCTGTTGGCTAGTGACTCTTATTCAGACCTGGTGCAACAATTGCACTTCCAGATGCCGCTTACCATCAGTGTGCCTTGGCTGCTAAGCATGCCTGGGCCACCATTCCTGAGAAAGGGGCCCCAGTATAATCTTTTCCGCATATCATGCAAAAATCACAAGAGCTCTATGCACAGTTTATTGCATGGTTACAACAGGCAGTGCAGCGTCAAATTCCTCATACTGCTGCTGCGAAAATGCTTACTTTGACCCTAGCTTTTGAAAATGCAAATGCAGATTGTAAATGTGCATTAGCACCTGTGAGATGTACAAAGAGCTTGGGAAATTTTCTCAAAGCCTGTGAGGTGTGGGAACTGAACTCCATCGCTCAACAATGTTAGCTCAAGCAATGGCTAATTTAGTAGTGAACAAATCTGAAAAGGGCCAAGGGTTGAGCCCTAAAGTGGGAAAATGTTATAACTGTGGAAAAATTGGACATTTCAAAAAAGAATGCCATCAGACCTCTAGGCGGAAGGGATCTTATAATGCAGTACCTGCCCCCTCCCCAAACACACACACGCACACACACACAAACACCAGGACTCTGCCCTTGCCATAATAAAGGAAATCATTGGGCTAATCAATATTGCTAAAAATTTCATCAGAATGGCACCCCGCTGTCAGGAAATGAAAATGGGGCCTGGGCCCAGCCCCTCAAACAATGAGGGCATTCCCCATCCAGGCCACAACCCGGCTACAGGGGTGGGTTCCTGGAGGAACATTGACTCCCTCTCCTCTGGAACACCCGGGAGTGCAGGATTAGATCGCCCAGTCAGAGAAAGGGTCACGTTAGTTGGAGGAGAGAAACCCACCAAAATTCCCACCGACATTTGGGGACCTTTGCCAACAGGATATAAAGGATTAATTTTAGGCCAAAGCCATTTTAACTTATAGGGCATTACTGTGGTCCCTGGGATTGCTGACTCTGATTATGAAAGAGAAATTCAAGTAATTGTAATGTCACAACATCTTTGGGTTTTTAAACCTGGGGAATATATTGCTCAGCTATTGCTTATTATTATTATTCTCTGCAAATTACACCCTTCTTCACAAAAGGAGAAAACAGGAAATCAAGAATTTGGGAGTACAACTACACATGAAATTTACCTATCCCAACCCATAGCTTCTAATTGACCCACCTGTGCAGTGCAAATTAAAGGAAAGAAGTGCTATGGACGTGTGGACACGGGAGCAGATGTTTCAGTAATATCCAAAAACAGTTGACCCCCATCTTGGCCCCTGCAATTAACCTCTACATCCTTAGTGGGAGTAGGAACAGCTCAAAGTGTTCAACAGAGTGCTGAAATTTTACTTTGTCTCGGTCCAGATGGACAGCCATGTACTTTTCAACCTTATGTTGCAAATCTCTGGGGCTGAGATTTACTTACAGCATGGGATATGAGACTCACAAATGAAAAGTTTGATAATCCAGGATTTAAAATATTGAAGGAAATGTGATATCAGAGTGGGAAAGGCTTGGGAAAGTTCCTACAGGGAAACCCCAATCCAATATCGGCAACTGGGCAAACGGATAGGACAGGGCTAGGGCATCAGAATTTCTGATAGGGGTCATTGATACTTCTCCTCCACCCACTGCCTTGCCGCTAGAGTGGCTGACTGATAAACCTGTGTGGGTGGATCAATGGCCCCTATCACAGGAGAAACTGACTCAACTCCATCAGCTGGTAAGAAAGCAGTTGGATGCAGGCTTTACCAAAGAATCAGTTAGTGCTTGGAATTCACCAGTATTTGTGACCCCAAAAAAGTCAGGAAAATGGCAACTGCTGCATAATTTGAGAGTTAATGCACAAATTAAACCAGTGGGTGCATTACGGCAAGGTCTGCCATCCCCAGCAGCCATTCCAAAAGATTAGCCTCTTGTAGTAATAGATCTTAAAGACTGTTTTTTTACTATACCATTACACAAGAAGGACAAGCCTCAATTTGCCTTCTCTGTGCCTTCTGTTAATCAGAGAGAGCCTGTCTCTCATGATCAATGAAAAGTTTTATTACCCCAGGGCATGCTCAACAGTCCTATGTTATGTCAGCATTTTGTAGGAAAAGCATTGAAGGAGCCTCAGAATATGTTTCCCACCACCTACGTCATTCATTATATGGATAATGGTTTTTTTGGTCGCTCCTATAGATCAAGTATTATACCAGTTATTCAGAGAAATAAAATGGGCTTTAACTCAATGGAATCTCAAAATAGCTCCTGAAAAGGTGCAAACAACCTCCCCATACCAGTACTTAGGTACTATTGTTACTGAAAAAAAGTATTTAGCCTTAGAAAGTAGCTCTTTGTAAGAACAAATTACAAACTCTGAATAACTTTCAACAGTTACTAGGGGATATTAATTGGCTGCGCCCAATGCTAGATATTGCTCCTTATCAACTCATTCATCTTTATCAAACCCTCCAAGGAGATTCTTCATTAGATTCCCCTCAGCAACTTACTAAGGAGGCAGAAGCTGAATTACAGCTTGTGGAACAGATGTTTCAGCAACGACATGCCTCCCGGCTACAACCACAAAAGACTTTGCTTTTGTTTTTTCCTGCTACCCCCCATTCTCCAGCAGGACTTTTAGGTCAATTCATAGACAAAATTATAATGGTAATAGAATGGTTTTTTTAATCCAAGCGGTAAAATCTTTGCAAGTTTATCTTTCTTTAGTCACACAATTTATAACAATAGGCAGGCATAGATCAAAAATGCTTACAGGATATGATCCTGATAAAATTATTGTTACCTTGGATTCCCAACAACAGGCTGAGGCCTGGAGGTGTCAACTGCATGGCAGATCACTTTCCCTGATTTTGTAGAAATAATAGATAACCATTATCCATCAGACAAAATTTTGCAATTTTATAAAATTCACCCTTTTATTCCCCCTGTGATTACTCATCACAAACCCATTTCAGGTGGACAGACCTATTTTACCGATGGCTCTTCCAAAACCTGCACAGCCATTTATGGACTTAAACATACTCAAATAATAAAGACCCCTAGAGTTTCAGTTCAGCACTCCGAATTAATGGCAGTTATTCAAGTTTTAAAGCTCAACCTTTATTTCCTATTGTCTGTAATTCAGCTTATGTTGTAAATGTAGCTAGTTGCATTAAAACTGCCACTATCAAGAGCACCTTAAAACCAGAACTGCTTAACCTATTTCTGAGACTCCAAAAAGCTGTTTGCTCTCATGCTGCCCCTTTTCATATTTCTTGTATCTGATCTCACACGCAATTTCCTGGGCCACTATCTCTAGGTAATGATAGAGCAGATAAATTCATCAGTTCTGTATTTCAATAAGCCCAAGCTTCCCATGCTTTACTGCATCAAAACACCTCTGCCCTTACTCGTTATGTGTCATCTGCCTCGCAGCCAGGTTCGAGCTGTTGTACAAGCCTGCCCCACTTGCCAGCATATCCCTGGTGTTGCACCCGTGGAAGGATGCAACCCATGAGGCTTGGCTCCAAATGAAATCTGGCAGATGAATGCTACATATGTAGAGAGAGCAGCCTTTGGCAAACTCCGCTATGTTCATGTAACTATAGACGCTTACTGCCATATATTACATGCCACATGCCAAACTGGGGAAACAGCTGGTCATGTCTGACGATATTGTCTGTCATCATTCGCCCATATACAGGTCCCTAAACAATTTAAAACTGACAGTGGACCTGCTTATGTTAGTCATGCTTTCCAAATTTTTTACAATTGTGGGCAATCAATCATAAAACAGGAATTCCATACAATTCCTGAGGGCAAGGCATTATTGAGCGGGCACACCAAACACTACAACATATGCTGAAAAAACAAAAAGGGAGAATAGGAGACCAACTACCACCTCAAACAAAATTACATTTAGCCTTGTTTACTACTATTGTTTTTTTTTTTTGTTTTTTTTGTTTTTTTTGAGACGGAGTCTCGCTCTGTCGCCCAGGCTGGAGTGCAGTGGCCGGATCTCAGCTCACTGCAAGCTCCGCCTTCCGGGTTTACGGCATTCTCCTGCCTCAGCCTCCGGAGTAGCTGGGACTACAGGTACCCGCCACCGTGCCCGGCTAATTTTTGTATTTTTAGTAGCGGCAGGGTTTCACCGTGGTCTTGATCTCCTGACCTCGTGATCCACCTGCCTTGGCCTCCCAAAGTGCTGGGATTACAGGCATGAGCCACCGCGCCTGGCTGCCTTGTTTACTTTAAATTGTTTGACTCCTGGTATGGAGGGCAAGACTCCAGCAGAACGACACTGGCAAGTGCTAGAGGAAAAGAGGCAAGTTTATCCAAAAGTGTTATGGAAATCCCTGGAAGAGGGACAATGGAAAGGTCCAGTGGATTTGCTGACGTGGGGATGAGGGTATGCTTGTGTTTTACAGGAGATGGACAAACCGTGTGGGTGCCCTCCAGGTGTGTGTGACCATGGAATGGGAGACCAGAGGGATCCATGGTATTCAACCATGGGCCTGTTCCCTCCAGTACGAGCCATGAGCCAGCGGAATCTGAATGCGAAGACAGAACGAGGGCCGACCGGAGTCACAATGACAGCCAACCCCATAACATGGGGACAGATCAAGAAAACCACACAGGAAGCTGAGAAACTGCTGGAGCGCCAGGGTCAGGCAAAAACCCCTGACTCCATGTTCTTGGCCATGCTAGCTGTAGTGTCCTGTGCGGTATGTTTCCCCTGTGTAGAGGCAAAAACATATTGGGCATATGTTCCTAACCCACCAGCAGTGCGATTGGTACTCTGGAGTGACACTCCTCCTGAAATATATCATGATCAGGGAGCATGGGCACCAGGACCCCTAACTCCCCCTGACACAGAACAATAGCATCAATTACACCACCCCATTGGAAGGACTCCCTTTATGTATCACCACGGATATGTCACTCAACTGCAGCTGTCTTGCAGTCTAATCTTAGGCATGGTTAAATCACCACGGAAAAATTATGTATTCATTAGGCCTCAGCTCCATTAATGTTACTGGTGTGTTCACCAATCACTTCTGGCCCCATCACTCAAATTGTATTGATTATACGGAATGGGCTCCCTTTGATATTTCTCACCCCCCTCCTTGGACCCAGTGTCTTGGCCCCTTGGCCAGACAACTCTGTGTGAATGGGAAACATTGACTGGGGTTCCCTTGGCCATTTAGATGGGAAAGATGAAAATCAGATCTCTTGGCACAAACTTCACTGGCACTGGTGGCGGACCTTCAACACCTCTTCGCCACATCACACTGGGATTCAGTCCCCCAGTTGACTGCACAACTTGCTTGGCACAGGACAGGCTTTAGCCCAGCCTTACCTTAGTGGCGTCATCTAGGAAAAAGAGGCCCAATTCTGGAATCAATATGGAAGGCAACACTCCCATTTATGAATAACAGCATCTGGGTCAGAACATTATCCAATAATAGTAATATTACTCAACACAGTTTTAATATCACCTTTGTAAAAAATATTACCAATTTATGGTTTGTGGGTTTTTTTTGTTGTTGTGGTGGTTGTTTGAGATGGAGTCTTGCTGTGTCACCCAGGCTGGAGTGCAGTGGTGCGATCTCAGGTCACTGCAACCTCTGCCTCCCGGGTTCAAGCAGTTCTCTGCCTCAGCCTCCCGAGTAGCTGGGATTATAGGCGCCCACCACACAAGGCTATTTTTTGTTTTTTGTATTTTTAGTAGAAATGGGATTTCACCATCTTGGCCAGGCTGCTCTTGAACTCCTGACCTGGTGATCCACCTGCCTTGGCCTCCCAAAGTGCTGGGATTACAGGCGTGAGCCACCACGCCTGGCTGGTTTGTATTTTTAATTCCTATGTTTTTCTAGCATCTAAGAAGGAGCAACTCCGAGTAAACATCACCCAATTGACTTGTGACTCTTGTCAACTGTATCACTGCCTCAATCATAGCACAATACAAACACACAACATCCCCACTCTAATAATTCTGGGTCGTATCCCTGGGTTATGGATCCCTGTCAATTTGTCCAAACCTTGGGCTGCCACCCCTGCTTTACATTTTGTAAAACTCCTTACCCAGCTCACTCATTGTGCACATAAAGCCTTAAACATAGTAATTTTTACTGTAATCTCAGTCACACTAATAACCTCGGTTGTGGTGTCCTCAGTAGCACTACATAGTTCTATTCAAACAGCCCAATATGTAGAAAATTGGACACGTACAGCCAACCAGGCATGGATGCTTCAAAATAAAATTAATACCGAATTACAAACAAAGGTAGCAGTGTTAAAGACTACTGTTCTGTGGCTGGGAAAGCAGGTACAAAGTTTGCAATTGCAGAAGCAATTGCACTGTCATTTCAATCATATTCATATTTGTGGGATCAATTTGGAATGGAACCAAAGTAAATATCCATGGAACCTTGTAAAAGCTCATTTGCAGGGAGCTTTTACATCCAGTATTACTTTTGATATCAGTAACTTACAGAGTAAAATTCTTAACTTGAATAAGCAAACTCAAAAATAACAGCCCTCTTTTAGAAGCTTAAACAGAATTCCAGCAGGACTTAGATAGCCTCAACCCCTGGACCTACTTAAACATAACCTCAATGTCTCTTTTAGAATAATAATGTTGTTGTGTCTCTGTTTTTTTGCTTATAGTCTATAGGATCAGGTGAACCACCAACCAGCAATTGAAAGCTGCACAGCCTGAAATTACCTTTATTCAATTAATGCAAAAACAAAAAGGGGGAGATGTTGGAGGCCGAAGGAATGAGGGTCGTGACCAACTCAATATACCACTGGAGGCTCTATGAGCGAACAGCAAACTGTTCTCATGAAAGCAAGATGCTGGCAAACTGACAAACTGTGTCTGCCACCAGAAGGAATGCTGGGGGCAGTCATGTCCCAGGTCCCATGCTCCTTGAGGTTATCTACAGGAACATCTAGAACCTGTTGAACAAAGAAAGCAATCATGTGGGCCTGTGTTAAATAGCTGACTGACAGTTACCCCTTCCTCCCTATTCACTCTACCTAATAAATATGAAGGGCTGTAAAAGCTCAGGGCCCTTGTTCCCTAGAATCAAGGAGCCCCCTGACCCCTTCTTTCAAACAGATCCTTTTGTCTTTGTCTCATTTCTGCATTCATCCTCCTCCGTTCAGTCCAGAAGCAACCGTGACAGTCCTGCATGTGTTGATGCCACCTGTCTGTGCAGGTGTGACCTCAGGTGTGTGAGTATCCCTTATACTTGTTATCATCACTGCCTATTTGCTCTTCCTCCAGCCTCTGGCAACCACTAATCCACGTTATGTGTCTAGATTTGCCTCTTCTGGATACTTCATATAAATGAAGTTATACAGTATGTGGTTTCCTGTGTCTGGCATTTTACCACTGAACATGTTTTCAGAGTTCATCCATGTTGTAGCATGTATCAGTTTTTCATTCTTCTTTATGGCTGAATAATACTCCATTGTAGGCCGGGCGCGGTGGCTCACGCCAGCACCTTAGGAGGCCGAGGTGGGCGGATTATGAAGTCAGGAGATCGAGACCATCCTGCCTAACACAGTGAAACCCTGTCTCTACTAAAGAATACAAAAAATTAGCTGGGCGTAGTGGCGAGTGCCTACAGTCCTAGCTACTCGGGAGGCTGAGGCAGGAGAATGGCGTGAACCCAGGAGGCAGAGGTTGCAGTGAGCTGAGATTGTGCCACTGCACTCCAGCCTGGGTGACAGAGCAAGACTCCGTCTCAAAAAAAAAAAAATACTCCATTGTACGGATATACCACAGTTTGTTTACTCATTCTAGACGTTGGGGTTGTTGCCAAGTCTTCTGATATTATAAATGCTACTGCTGTGAACATTCATGTACAGGTGTTTATGTGGATGTATATTTTTAATTTGGGAAGGGGATGCCATGGGTGGGACCTAGGCTTGTGAAGAGCCTGGCCTGGGTGTATCTCTCTGTCCCAGGAGTGCCTGTGTGTATGGCCATGACCACACCCTCTCCTTGCTGCCTGTGCTCATTAGCCGTGCTTCATTTCCAGAATCCCAGGCCTGGGCCCCTGAAGTCAAAGCCAGGAGCCTAGAGCTGCACTGGTGTGTAGGATCAAAGAGAAGGTCGCAGTGGCCCTGGAAACAAACCTGTCTCTGCAAGAGTCACTAGCAACCTGGGACCTCTGCCCAGGACTGAGACCTCAGGTGCCCCCTACCCTGTAGCTGCTGAGGCCAAGCAATGTGGAGACAGAGCAGTGGGTGAGGTGATGGAGCCTGAGGTGCCAGGTGAGGTAGATGGTGGGGTGGCAGTCACAGTGGTATAGGGGGCAGGTATAGGGCTAGATATTTTCAGAAACCAGATATCCCTCTAAAACACACCCTGCTTCTGCTTCCCTCATTCCACTGCCCTGCCTTCCTCAGCCTGCTCTAAGCCACTACCTCCTCACAGTTCTCCTGCTTCCCATTGCCCCCTTCATCACTCTCCACTCAGCATTGGGTAGAGAGGGTCTTTTACCCCTGACTGGTGAGGCCACCCCTCACTTTAAACCCTCCATCACTGCCCAGGCCATCAGAGTATGGTTGGCAAACTCTTCTGTAAAACACAAGCAGCAGGCTGGGTGCAGTGGCTCGTGCCTGTAATCCCAGCACTTTGGGAGGCCAAGGCAGGTGGATCACCTGAGGTCAAGAGTATGAGACCAGCCTGGCCAACATGGTGAAACCCTGTCTCTACTAAAAACACAAAACTAGCTGGGCGTGGTGGTGCATGCCTGTAATCCCAGCTACTCAGGAGGCTGAGGCAGGTGAATCGCTTGATCCCAGGAGGTAGATATTGTGGTGAGCCGAGATTGCACCACTGCACGCCAGCCTGGGCAACAAGAGCGAAACTCTCTCAAAAACCAAACAAACAAAAAACCAAGCAGCAAATGTTGTCAGCTTTGTAGGCTCAGAGGGAAAACCAAAGATGTTACAAAGGTACCTATCTAACAAGAGAAAAACACATGTCCATACATTTTATTAATAAAATCCAAAACTTCATTAAGTGTAATTCATTCCTTAAATTAATCAATGAGCAAAAAGCTTTTCACAAGAGGTTTCATTTTATACATAGGAAACAGACCCCAAGGGATGTGAGCAGCATAGAATCACAGCAGAGAGTGGTGAAGATTTGATCCTAGATCTGACAGACTACCATCATACTTGCCATTCTCAGCTTAGGAATAAGATGGGGAGGAAGGTGTAGGTACTGGGCAAATCAGGGCCCAAAGAGTCTGTTCAGTACTCTTGCCTCTGTGGGAAGGAACAAAAGACCCCACATCTGCCCTTCCTTCCTGGGAGTCTCTGTTAGGACCTGAATTCAGTATAGCTGGAATGATCATTTTTTCTCTCTTTAGAGCACTCACCCACTTGACATCTCACTTTGTTCTCACATAGTCCTCATATAGGTATCCTGTGGCTGCTGTCCTTGAAACCTGATAGCATGGAGCTGAGGCCTCAGACTATAACAGGGCACATAATTTTGCATGAAGTTCAAGAAGAGGCTGGGCTGGGCATGGTGGCTCATGCCTGTAATCCTAGCACTTTGGGGGGCCGAAGAGAGTAGATCACCTGAGCTCAGGAATTCGAGACCAGCCTGGCCAACATGGCGAAACTGTGTCTTTTTTTTTTTTTTTTTTTTTTTGAGACAGAGTCTCGCTTAGTCGCCCAGGCTGGAGTGCAGTGGCGCGATCTCGGCTCACTGCAAGCTCCGCCTCCCGGGTTCACGCCATTCTCCTGCCTCAGCCTCCCGAGTAGCTGGGACTACAGGCGCCCGCCGCCTCGCCCGGCTAATTTTTTGCATTTTTAGTAGAGACGGAGTTTCACCGTGTTAGCCAGGATGGTCTCGATCTCCTGACCTCGTGATCCACCCGTCTTGGCCTCCCAAAGTGCTGGGATTACAGGCGTGAGCCACCGCGCCCGGCCAACTGTGTCTTTACTAAAAACACAAAAATTATCCCGGCATGGTGGCAGGTGCCTATAATCCCAAGCTACTCGGGAGGCTGAGGCAGGAGAAGCGCTTGAATCCGGGTGACAGAGCCTCTAATAAGCCGAGATAGAACCATTCCACCCCAGCCTGGACGACAGAGGGAAACTCCGTCTCAAAAAAAAAAAAAAAAATTAAAATTAAAAAAAAATTAGGCTGGGACACCTTTTCCGGAAGGGCTACTTACTACAGGGGAGCTGTCTAAGGTGCTGAAATGTCCTAGCCCTGCGCCGTCCAATATGGTAGGTATGATTAAATTCAAATAAAATTACAAGTTCCATTTCCCAGTCAGACTAGTTATGTTTCTAGTACTCAGGAGCTACATGGGGCTGATGGTGCCATATTAGACAGCACAACTCCAGAACTTTTCCATCCTCACAGAACATTCTAGAGTTTAATTTGAATGCTAGTTACACAGGGCTGTGCATTTACCAAATTCACTAAGCTGAGCACTTGTACTTCTGTAAAACATGTATATGTAATTTTGAAAGCACAAAGTTTCACATCTCCGCCTGCCAGTCACTTTACCAAACAACCTTTGGTTTAACTTCTCTGTGCCCCAGTTTCCCAACCTGTAAAAGACAGTAATGATAATACCTCCCCTTTGATTGGTTGAGAGTACCACCAAAGGTGTTTGCTGGCTGGCCTGACCTGCAGGAGGTGCTCAGGAAAGGGGAGCTGCTGCTGTCATTTGGTGGAAGTGGGTCCCTTTATTTGGCTACCAGGGCCTGAACACTGCCACATTCCAACACATCGTCCCCATGTTAAGGAACTCAGCATCACACAGCAAGTCCTTGAGAAGCCCAAAGCCAGAGGCAATGTGGGGGCAGCAGCACAGGTGGCTGTGGCTGCTTATGAAGACCCAGCCTAAGTCCAGAGGAGGTACCCAGATGAGGTGGGGTGTCTGTGTGGACGGCTTTCTGTTATAGAGGCAGGCGTCTGAGGCACAGGTCTTAAGCATCAAATCAGGAATCCTCTTTCTGTGGAACCCCAAGGCCAGTGACCCCCTTGCCCTTCCTGGGAGTCAGGAGCAGAAGGAGGGTGTGCAAGTGGCATGGCTCCCTCACACTCACACAGGCACCCTCACCCTCAGCCCTCACACAGCCACCCTAACCCTCAGCCCTCACAAAGGCATCCTCACCCTCAACCTTCACACAGTCACCCTCACCCTCAGCCCTCACACAGGCACCCTCAGCCCTCACACAGCCATCCTCAACCCTCACACAGGCACCGTCAACCTCACACAGCCACCCTCAGTCCTCACACAGGCACCCTCACTCTCACACAACCACCCTCAGCCCTCACACAGGCACCCTCATCCTCACACAACCACCCTCAGCCCTCACACAGACACCCTCAGCCCTCACACAG